CAGGCAGAGGGGACGAGGGATAAGGATGGGGACAGCGCCGCACAGCTGTCACGGGGAGCGCTTGAACAACTGCACGCTGAGCACAAGGATGGAGACGTTCGCTCTTTAAATGCCAGGTAGGGATCTGCAGCCTCCTGTTGCGGTGTCTGCACAGGGAGGGATCCTGCCCATATATCCGAGCACCTGCTTGTGCATTTACCGGGCATCTGGCTGCACAATATCAATGGGAACGTGAGACCAGTAGGAAGCCAGTCCAGGGGAAATCCCGGGCACAGCCCCATTGCCGCTGTCACCCCAGCTGACTTTATATAACTGCAATGGTGCAGAGTAGAGCGAACGATGCATTTACATCTGAACTGTGCTCTGCAGCCGAGTACATTCAGCTGCTGGAAACGCACGCCAGGAACAAGCGGCTTCCACTGGACCCATCCAGGCATCAGCCCCAGGCAGCACATCTCTGGGGGTCAGCACCAGTGCCTCGGCCTGCATTGCACCCATCCGTGCATGCCCCATCCCAGAAGCCCCTGGATCACACCCCCTGTGGTGGGAGCGATTGAAAGCAAGGTCCTGCACTGAACCCAGTTGCCAAATAGAGTCTGAATCCGTGCAGTGTGAATACCTAGGGCACCAAGACACTGGTTCCAAACTGCTTTACTTGTGACCCAACCCTGAGGCCCGTGTCTCCGACGGAGAAGGGCTAGCAATTTAATCTCCTGTGCAGCACCCGGCCTCCCCAAGGTGGGCCTGGGCAAGGAGGGCTTTGCTGAAGTGGTGCACCTGAGCAATCGGTGTCCTCAGCCCTGCTAAAAATGTCACCACTTTTTACACCGAGCAGAAGGAGGGGACGCTGCCCCCTGGGATCCAGCTCCCCGCGATCAAAGGCCTCAGCTTTCTGCTGCTGATTGGCAAACAGCTTTTAAAACAATCCAATTAGGTGAGCAGTAAAATATGTGCTAAGCATTGACAGCGTGTATAAAAGAGACACACTCCAGGGCCTCCGGCTAATCAATGAAGTGGATGTAGAGCGTCTTATTCAATTATCGGCTCTTTTCCATCAAAGATTTTCTAGCTGAAAACCTGTGCCGAGGTCCCAGGACCCTGCCCGCTCCGGAGCGGCTGACTCTTGGGGTTTCTGCATCAGGCTTTGCAAGAGCTGATGTCACAGCTGTTGTGGGAGACCCGTAGGTTTGGGTGGAAAAGGTTGAAAAAGTAACCCAGGCCATACAACAAATCTTGGCGGGTATATCCCATAGTGCTTTGGCAGGAACTGATCACCCAGAAGACCGGCTCACGAGGCAACACCAGCAGAAGATAGAGCAAACCCAACGGCATCGGCCTCTTTTTTAATCTTTTTGTCTGAGTGAGCAAACCCGCGAAGCTGCACCACATTCAGGAGCTGTTTCCATGCTGAATCTGCCCTTCGTGCTGAGAAAAAGCTCGTGGCCCCAAAACATTTGCAAGCTCTGACTGCATTTCTGCCCCTGAGCTCAAGCCTCGCGGCCGGTCTCATTGCCGGGGCTCTTCACGTCCTGCCCTTCTGTTAACACATTTTCATCGACTGCCCTGATAACACCGCGGTTTGGGGAGTGAAGGGCTCAGTGAGTTTCATGGCGGTGTTGACAGGTCCCTTGCCACAGTCACTCAGCCGGCGGCTGGTTTCGGCCACCGTCCATTGACGGATCCCTGTATGTCCCATCAACAGCCATGAGATCCTGCGACCGTGTTTCCGAGGGACCAGCTGGGCAGTTTCAATGTGTCCTTTCTTTCTGGGTTGCATTGCCTCCGCAGCAGGGCAAGGGTTAAAATGTCCTCTGCCAGAAACAGAAAGGACCCAAAGGAGGGCCCAGGGGATGCAGGAAGCCCTGGGTTCAAATCCTGGTGTGTCCACTTGCGTACCTAGTTGGGTTGGGTCCAGGGGCTCCAACCAGCAGACATTGTGCAGGGCAAGGGCGCGGTGCCCTGGCCGAGCCGTGTGCGAGTCGCTTGGACCAGAGCAACAGGGAGCACTCAGCTCTGGATAGACAGACCTTGGCAGAGCCCAGCGGCCTCGGGGGAAAGCTTGCACATGGTGCCCAGCTGAGCCAGGGCCGCGTGCGGCTGTTTGCCAAGCTAATGCCATCACTTAAGAAACCAGAGGGGCTTTGGCTGGGCAGGCCCAGAATGCCTTGCCCGCTCCTGCCTGGGCTAGGGACCTACTGGCGTCTGATTGCAGGGAACAAAACTGAAGGTTTGCAAGGATTTGGATCACGGAGAAGCTGATGAAGGTGGTGAATGAGAGCCCGGGGCCTTTGGGGAGAGCTGTGTCAGTGCAAGGCGAGAGGGGACGGGCAGGGAGCAGTGCAGTGGGACAGCTAAGGGGCAGCCTTACCCGTGTCTCCCCAGACAAGCCCGGTTTCCACCCACGCTCTGCTCTTCTTACACCCAGGGGCAAAGACACTGAGCTCAGCAGGGATTTCTGACCATGTTGAGCGTGCACGAAGCCTCAGCTTCCACCTGTCGTGGACCCCACATGATGCACCATGCATGGGTTTGCGCACCACGGGCGCTTGTACACGGGCCGGGGGTTTAATTCTTCAGGTTGCATGCTGTGCCCCCTAACAGTACATTTTTAATTGAAACAGCGGGTTTTATTCTTCTGTCACTGCATATATATCATTGTCCTGGCAGCTGCAGGCGCCTGCTGAAGGCAGAAGTGACGCGGGACCCGATCCTTTTTTCCGCAGAGCCTGCCCGCCCCTCCCACAGCTGGAGGGTCAGCGGACTAATGGCTGTACCACTGCAAATTGCAACGATGCAAACTAAACTACATTGGGACATAGTTTAGTTTGCAACAATGCAAACTCATTTAAAACCCCCCAAAACTTGGGTACGTGTAATGTGTGATGCCATTGAGCCACACACAGGGACATTTTTGTCATGTGTACATCGTGATGTTGTCACGTGTACAAGCGCCTGCTCAGCACAGGGAGGCCTCCACTGGAGCGCTGTGCCCAGTCCGGGCGCCGCATGTTGAGGAGGAGGAAGAGAACTGGGAGCAAGGGGAGGCAAGGCTGAGGGAGCTCGGTGCGGTTAGTTTGGAGAGGAGGAGATGAAGGGGGGCTGTGACAGCTGCACTCAAAGCTTTGAAAGGCTGCAATAAAGAAGGCTGATAACATCGTTCCCCTTGCTGCAGAGCGCAGGGCATGGGGTTTACACTGCGGCCGCGCAGATTTATAACAGATCTCAGGAGAAACTTCCTGGCTGGCAGAGCAGCGGGATGAGGGGGCAGGGTGCCCCGGGACAAGGTGGTCTCCCACACTGGAAGTCTCCAAGCGTCTCCCTGGGAGGGGGTGAGCAGCGGATCCTGCATCCACACAGGGCCTAGGACTAGACCCCCAAGTCCCGTTCGCAGAAGAGGCAGAGCCTGGGGGACAGCGGGTCAGGACCACGGTGCATCAGCACATCCAGGCATGGGAAGCCCTGGACAGGACCAACCCCGTGGGTACCCCAGGAAGGGCTCTGCATACATTGCCTAGCATTGCCGCAGCCGTGCAGAGAGCAGAGCCGGCTAGCTGGCACAAAACCCGGCTTGTGAATTTACTGCCATTTCCTCCTGCTCCCAGGATCTGGCCATCCATCACTTACAGGGTTTCAGACAGACGCTGGCTTCTCGTGAGGGCGTCCATAACTCCGTTTTACCGAGTGCAGTATTTCATCCCAAGAGACCTGTCCCCCTTATTGTGCTCCTCTGCGAAGCCTTTACCCATCCTACCGGGGTGGGAAAAAGGCTGTCAGGTAGGTCGGGTGATCAGCCCGGGTGTGGAGCTGAAGGGAACATGGCGTGAAACCCCCCTACACATATTTTATCCCGCGCCTTTCGTGGAGGGCCTGGGAACCACGGGGATTGGCTCTGAATCAGGAAAAATAAACTGCTGAGCGCTGGCCTTCACCTGGCCTCACGCTGGTTTATAATTCAATAAAGTCACTCCAGACTGACGCCAGGGGACAGGAGAGGAAAAGCGGGTCCTGTTTCTTTGTTAATGAATTATTCAGCCAGGAAACGCCGGCTTTGGGTGCAAATCTCTTACAAATTGGGCTGGACCTTTGGCTGCTGCAGCCCGCCCCGGCTTCGCTGGAGTTACAGGAGCCGAAGCCAAAGGAGCACCTGGCCCTTCGTGGCTCTGGGGCAAACATCTGAAGTCCCGGCCGGCCGGCTGCATTGCAGAGCCGGAGTCTCCATCTCTCCGGGCTTCGGCTCAGTCCTGAACGGGGAACATGCGGCTTCCTCCGTGCCCCGCAGCCGGAAGTAGTTAAACTTGTTGTGCAGATGATGGATGGGCTGGGAGCGTGCGGAGGAAACACGGATCAGGACCCCCCGCGTTCCCTACGCTTGACGGATGAAAGGCAAACGCCGTTCATCCCGCCCCGTGCTTTGCTGTTACTTTGAGGTCTTTGACCCTTGTTTGAAAGCCTGTCCTGAATCCAAGGGGACAAACGTCCTGGCTGGAGACGGGCCGTTCCTCCCACCCAGGACCTCTCTCTTAATGGGCACGGGGCTGCACGCGGCCTGGAGTCACGGAGTGATAGCTGCCACTC